AATAACCCAAACACACATAATAAATTTAATGATTAAAAATAATAAAATTTTAGGTTACTATTAATAAATACTTAATATGCAAAGTACTATAATAGTAAATAATTCTAAAAATAATATTTAAAATTATTATTTTAAAACTAAAGGATTAAAATTGTAAAATATCAAAATTAAAAATCCTAATTCTAAATATTATGAAATCTAGGTATTATTAATGTAAATAATCCTAAAATATTATTTAAAATTAAAATATTAAACCTCAGTGATTAAATTGTAAAAATATATAAATTAAAGGTCTTAATTCAAAATATTAAAATAATATATATTAAAAGCGTAAATAATCCTAAAATATTATTTAAATATATGTAAATATATTGGTAGTGACTAAAATAAAAATAAATAAAATGAGAAGATAAAATTAAAAGATATAGAAACCTGATTTTGGTGACTATAATGGAAAATTACAGAATACAGAGACCACGGACGGGGTTAAACCAATTATGAAATTACACAGACACTCCCTCCCCAAAACGATGTAGTTTTGATTTGGGTATAAATAAGCCAAAATAGGCCATTTTCCCTCATTTTTTTTCTCATTTTTCTGTTTGCTTCTCTCTAAACTCCCTCACCGGAGGAAGCTTCATTCACCGGCCGACCACCAGCCGACCACCGGCCGGTCACTATTCCGACCACCGGCCAACCACTGTTCACGTCGTCGGTCACTATTCACGTCATCGGTCACTATTCCGATCACTATTCATGACTGGAAAAAATCAAAATAGCTCAAATCGTAGATCGACTTTCCCTCGTCCTAAATCCAAGCTTCTTTTTCGCTAAAAGCTAGTCAATCGGACTAGATCTGAGATTTTCTCTTCGGTAAAATCACTTTTCCGATGGTGTTTGAACTTCAACTGAGGTAAGATCTCTTCTCCTTTCTTTTGCTTCCTACTCGTTTGGTGTTGCTTGGTCTCTTTCCGTTCTTGCCGTTGTTTCTTTTTGTAGGTTTTCAAGGCTTTTTATAGGCCTCGAAAAGCTTCAAACAACCGTTCATTTTGGTGAGTCACCATATCTACAATGGTGACTCACCATAGGGAGTGAGGTGTGCGGTTCTCCCTGCTTCTTCTGCAGTCTTCTACTGAGGCGGCGGCATGGCAGTGTTGAAGTGGAACACTTGGACGGTTGGAGGAAAAGTGTGGGAAACCCTTGCTACTAGGTTCTGGATCGGGTCAAATGGGTTCCGATTTGTAAATATCTATTGTAATAAAATTTATTATTTATTATTTAATAATAATAATAATAATAATATAAAAAGGACGGGACGAAAATGACTGTCGACAGGTTCAAACAAAAAAATATTAAATAAATACTAATTTATAATCCTCTCATATTATTAAAAACATTTACGTGGAAGTCGTTGTGTATTAATGTTAATTATTTTGAATTTATTCATTTATTGAATATTTTATTATTTTTAATTTATTTATTGATTTAATATGTAAGATAACTAGTGTCAAGTAAGCATAAGGTACACTGCCGCACATGTTATTTCATCAATACCATTAACATTTTAATATTTTATTTAGTATTTTTATTAAAAAAAAGATTACTTTAATTCTTTTTTAAAGATTAAAGATATTTTAAGAAAAGAAATAAAGGTCAAACTGATAAAGATATAAACGTTAATAATTTAATGTGTTATTATATCAAGAAAAAATGTTAAATAGAATTAACATTATTGTACCCAAAAGGCCAAAACCTTGAGTAAAAAAATTCTATTGATAAACTAGGCCACCCACTTCTGGGTTTGGGCTAACTGGACAAGTTGGCTTGACCAACAATCATTGTTTTCTTTTCTTTATCCAATTATGAAAAAAAATGATAAAGAACCTCTTCGTAAATATGAGATTATTACAAGGTAATATATGTTTAAAGATTTTAAAATTATTTGACAATGATTGCTTATATCTATGCATATACGGTGCTCGAATTTGGGATCTCAAGTGATAATAATAAATTCATTAACCATTAAGATCACTTAGTTCGTATTAAAGTACTAGTTTTGAAATTAATGCATAAAAGTTCACTGGTGATGGTAATAAACCGGAAATGGACGGATCGATCTATTCACTTCCACCTCATTCTCCCTTGTTTATAGTTATAACTTTCATGAATATTTATAATCATTTTACTCGTTTTCATTTTGTTATACATTACTTGTTATTAAATGATTATAAACTCAATATTATAAAGATTCTATTATGATTTATTCATGAACATAATTTTAATTTGTAAAAAAAATATTTACAATATTATATTCATAATGTATGCGTATATAATGTATATATATATATATATATATATATATATCAAATATGAGTATATATTATTTTAATATGTATATATGATATATAACATATATACTAAAAATATAAATGAAAAACAAAACAATTTGTTTAAAAAATATTTTTGAAGTGTTTGGTTCAAGTAATATAGAATTTGAAAATAACATTTCTATGTTTGAATTCTAAAGGTTACTTTGAGTATATAAATTTATATTTTCGACAATTCCTCTTGCAATACAAATCCTTAATGGTGTAGATGTCTCTGATCTTGAGCTCTCAACTCCGAGAAATAAAAAAAAAAAAATAGGCCAAACACACTTCACATATTATCCAACTAATCTAAACTTTAAACCTTAACAATTTTCATTTAAAATTCGTTATATTAAAATAATAGTCCTGACATCACATTTATAAGCTTGAACAAGTAAGACCTAATGATACTAATGTCCATTAAAGAAACAAGAGTAGTAATCTGATAGGAAATGTTAAAGATCCTTTCACTTATGGTTCTCTTCGGACACTATTGGAATTCTATTGACATACGAACGAAAAATAATTTGAATGTTTGACCTTTACAAATCAAGTAGCACACATTTACTTTGCCATATTTTTTGTGAATTATAAACATAAGTATGTATATCAAACATAATCTCATAGACATGACATACGCATTTCATGTTATATATTTAAAGTTGATATATATATTTTTTTAAGAATTCTGTTTAAAAAATAAGATTGTAATATGATTATAAGATAATACTAATATATGTGTTTAGTTTCAAATATGGATAAACTTACATACAATTAGAGACAAAACTTCTCAAACCTAAATTACATAAAGAGAACAATATTGTCTTTGCTATTGAAACTCGCACTGAAACTACTCTTTTAAATTCATATAAATTTTATGAAAAATTATTTTAGATATCATTGAACTTTGTTTGTTGACTCGTTTATACTACTGAACTTTTAATTTTTTAAATTATAGCTTTGAACTTTAGTTTTATATTCAGTTATGTCAATCCATTGTTAAGTCAATAACATAACGATGTCAACTCGCTTGTGGGTTTGGACAATCAGTATTGGGTGGAGGTTGCTCCTCGGAAGGTGATGGTGCAGATTGCAGAGGATATGAGATGAATTTATCCACCATAGATGCTGTTCAGGTGTGGGTGTTGCTGAGTTTCGAAGGCTCGATTTGGTAATGTTGGTTGGAAATCCTTGATCGGGATGATTCAATGGCAATTCATGGTTGGCAAGATTGAAATGACGTGTGGCTTTTGGTGTTACTCATTTATTGTTTCGTTTTGTTTATTTATTGCTTTCTTGGTGTTTTCCCCTTGGGTTTGTTTCGTCATTTAGGTTTTTCGGATTTGTTTGTTCTGTTGTTTTGGAGACTTTTAGTTTAATTTTCAATAATAACACCGAGCATTTATTCTATTCAAAAATATTATAAAAACAAGGGTAAACTACACATTTAGTACCTATACTATTATTTTGTTCTATTTTAGAACCTAAACTTTATTATTTTTTAAAAATCAAATCTCACATTTAGTTTAGGTTTTAATTTGGTACCCTGTCATTTAAAACTTAACAGTAATATTGACGTCTCCAGGGTATGTCATGTCATCATTGGAAAAAAATTAAAAAATATTACATCGATAGTTTTGTTAAACTTTTAATGATGGATATCAAATTGAAATATAAATTAAACGTTACATATGATTTTAAAAAAATAAAGTTAAAGTACAAATATAAAATAAAAATGTGTATCAAACGCTTATTAAAACTCAGGACAAATGCCATCCCTATTTTATCTATAGGTTCTAAAAAGATAAATGACTTCTGAAAAGAACTTCGGGTAAAAGGAACTAAAGTCTTATGGCATAAATTGATATGGTTTCCATTACACATTCCAAAACATAGCATGATTACATGGATGACGCTTCTTGACAGACTCTCAACTAAAAATAGACTTCTTAGAACGGGAATCATTACTGACAACTCGTGTATACTATATAATGTGGCTACGGAGACTAGGGACCACCTGTTCAGCGAATGTCCTCATGCAGTTTCCTTGTGGAGAGATATCTTAAACCTCTCAGGCTTATGCACACCTCATTTACGATGGGTGAGCATGTTAGACTGGGCATGTAGTGCTTAAAAAGGTAAATTCCTTCTTACTACTATCTTGAAACTTGCTTGATGTGCTTTAAACTATTCACGATGAGAGAAAAGAAAGAGAAGATTATTTCAAATTTGTCAATTTCTAATTAAAGATGCGTAGGAGAGAGAGAGATCGCCCATATTATGATTGGTCTCAACAAAAGTCGGTTGCATAAAGATTCCATTTGCCTTGGGTCCTTAAACTTTTTCTTCATGCCAATTTAAGTGGGTAAAAAGAAAATAATAAGTGTGTTCACAGTTAATTTATAGGTTCGATTTTTACAGTTTAGTCTTGTTTTATTTTTGCATATTATTAAATTTCAAAAAAAAATCTTTGCATATTATTAGAAGATAATACTTTGTAAATATTTAAGACTCGGGACTGGGGTTTACCTTGGGCAACTGGAGAAGGAGCTAGAAATATATAAACTGTGTATTCATAAGTGGAAAGTGGCAACCAACTGCGTTATCTTTCAAAGGCGTTTTCAACTTCAAAGCCATAAGTTTATCATCTCTAACCAAAAGGGGTGCTTCCTTTCTGCCTTTATTGGGTTTTGTACCTTTAAAAAATGTGAAATCGTTGAAGCTTTCAGGTTCCCCCTCCTTTTTATTCCTTGGCAACTGTAGAAAAATGCTGTTTTCTTCTTCTTCTTCTGCCTCTTCTTTTTCTGTTAATATTTTTTTAATGGGTTGCTTTTGTCTTGATCTTGGAGGAAGATTGAGTTTTGGCGACTAACGCAATAAATTAATTCAAAACTCCTATTAAAGAATTAAATATTATGATTTACAAGTTTAAGTTATGTATAAATTGATTGATAAGTGAGGAATTACTAAAGATTCCATGTTTTAGCTTTTGTTTGATGCAGTTAAGAGGGCTGCATTCTTCATGGAGCTTGTTGTTAGCAAATGGGTATTTGCATTTTCACTCTTTTGTTGGCTAATCTTCTCTGTAGGATTTTCAGGTATGCTTGAAGCTTCACTTTCTTGGATTTCTTTTTGTTTCTGGGAAAAACAAATGCTTATTCTGTAGGAGACTCAAATTGTTAAAAAAATTCTTCTCTTTTAATTTTGTAAGTGGAGGAAGTGCATGGAGATTCTAAAGTGAGAGGAGTTAACTTAGGAGGCTGGTTGGTTATCGAAGGTTGGATCAAACCTTCTCTTTTTGATGGCATTCCCAATGGAGACATGCTTGTCAGTATTAATTTTTTTTAAATGATTTATGGGTTTTTTCTATTTTTTTATGAAGAATTCTAATATGTTAATGGATGGATATTGAAATGTAGGATGGAACACAGGTTCAATTCAAGTCAGTGACATCGCAGAAATATGTTTCTGCAGAGAGTGGCGGTGGGATGGACATTTCAGTCAATAGAGATGATGCATCTTCATGGGAAACCTTTACTGTAAGGAGTCAAACGAAATTATTGGTCTTTGTCTCTCAAATTGATCTTGTTTTGTTTGTTAAACTTGAGCTTGATTGGCTATTTGGACCGTCTGATCTTATGCTTGCGGATATTACACTAAGCTAAACCGGATATTACACTAAGCTAAACCATTTTCTAGTCTGCTTACTTAGCAATCTGTAATACGAAAAGAAAAGCATTGCAGAGTTTCATGTCCTTTAGCCATTGTGATTAGTGTTTGTGTGAACCGACATTCTTGTTTTGTCAATTGATAACTAAACAATGAAATTTGTTATCTGAAAAAAGGAACTTCTTCCTCTGCAATGAAATTTGTTATCTAAACAATTTTTTCTCATGCAGCTATGGAGAGTTTCTGAATCTGAATTTCAGTTCCGCACCACACAGGGCCAATTTCTAACATGTTATGGTAATGGATGCTCTGTATCTGCAACAGCAAAATCAGCTTCTTCAACTGAAACATTTCAAATTGAAAGAAATAATAATGATAAAGTTCACATCAAAATAAAGAGTGGAACCTATCTGCAGGTATGATACCAGTTCTCTTCACATTTGTCTTGATGAATCAACAATAACCGTTCAGTATGTTGGCAGCAAATAATGGTAGATAGACAGCTTTTTGCCATTGCCTCTTAAATGATATGGTTAAAATATTTAAGCACCCAATAGTTTAGCCTGTGTCTGGTTCTCAACATTGCTGGTTAAGCATAGGATTAAGGTCTCGGTATTGCTTTTAGTGTGTGTACTGAGCCAGGTTTAAGACAATCTTCTATGATCACAGTTTTACTATGGAGAATAAAGCTATCAAATAGTAGAACGACCAAAATGTGCGACGCAGTCCTTTGCCATTTAACATTACTCATATTTCTTTCACAGGTTCATGATGTCAAAACTTGATGAAAATGTTTTTATATTGTAGGCCAGCATGGATAATCAGCTGACAGCAGATTATCCAGGAACACCAGGATGGGATGATAACGCAGCCACATTTGAAATGTCAATTGTAGCTAATAACTTGCATGGAGATTATCAGCTTGCAAAGGGATATGGACGTAGCAAGGCAAAACAAGTTCTTGAGGTAACATACAGACTTTTTTCTTTTCTTTTTCTTCATGGGAGAGGGTGGAGGGATGTATGAAACTTATTACAATCATCAGCCACTCTGAATCATGTCCAGTTGGTTATCATTTATCACTTTGCAGAAGTTAAAATGTTGAACATATTGTGATAAAGTTTCAATAACATAGCTTGGTTCCTGGATTCTCTGAAGAAACGAAGATGAAAAATGTTTTCAGCAATCAGCAGATAATGTATGCTGCTAACATATCAGCAGTTTTATTTTCTTGCCTTCTCTCTCTTACATGCATTATTCTTCTCATTACACAGTTTGTTATATTTTATTATGATATTCCCAAGATGTTGGTCTAAAGGCATATCTCCAATGAGATCATTTTACTAGCTAACTAGTAGTTAATCAAGGTAAAATTGTCAGATAATTATGGAATGACAGATTCTTTAAGGTGAAATTGTCAGATAATTATGGAATGACAGATTCTTTAAGGTAAAATTATGGATTTGCAGATGAATGATTATTAACTTTGAAAGGAGAAAAACATAATTGAGCGCTATTTCGTGTTCGACCTTTCATTTTCCTAACATATGTTTCCTGGGTGAAACTGCAGAAGCATAGAAACACGTTTATCAACGTAGGGGATTTTGAATTTCTATACAGACATGGAATAAATACTGTAAGGATCCCTGTTGGCTGGTGGATTGCTTATGATCCGGATCCTCCAGCCCCATTCATTGGAGGAACGTTAGAAGCTCTTGATAATGCATTCTCTTGGGCAGAGCAAGTCTCTGTTTCTTTTTGATTTGTTAGTGTGCTATGATTTTATCTCTTAATTTAATTTGATAAGCTTGTAGTATTTTGATGCAGAGCCTACAGCATAAAGTGCATTATCGACCTTCATGCAGCACCTGGCTCCCAAAATGGAATGGAACATAGTTCTAGCCAAGATGGCACAACAGGCTGGCCTACATCTTCCGATTACATTTCACAGACGTTGCATGTTATAGATTTTCTAGCTTCCAGGTAACTGCCAAAAGTTATTGGATTTGCGTCTAAAATTGATATTTTACCAGAGTGGCGAGGGTTGAAAACAAATGTTCTAGTGGTTCATTTAAGACGCTAGATTGAAAAGGTCATGCAAAACTTCTGAACAAGTTTGATCAGTGGTACTGGTTTATTTTGTTAGGAAATTGCTTGTCAGTAATGTTAAGTCAACTTGGAATTGAAGTTATCCGACATTTCTGTCGCATCATTGTCAAACATCAACTCTTATCCTTGAACTCTTCAGGTTTCCGGCCTTGCAAAGTTTAATTCCATTGGATCATCTTGTCTATTGCAGGTACGCCAAACATCCCTCCTTGCTGGGAATCGAACTATTAAACGAGCCCTCTGCTGCAGAAGTTCCATTGGATACATTAGTTTCATATTACAAACAAGGCTATGAAGTGGTGCGCAAATACTCTCCATCGGCTTATGTGATAATCTGCCAAAGAATTGGCAATGCAGATCCACTGGAACTTTATCAAGCTGATATAGGCTCTCACAACCTAGTGGTGGATTTGCATTACTACAATCTGTTCGACACATTCTTTGTTAACTTGAGTGCTATAGACAACATCCAATTTATATATAAAAGCAGGGAGGCTCAGCTACAAGCTTTGAATGGAGTAAACGACCCCCTCATTTTTATCGGTAACTAAACTTTGTTTCCACAGTTGCCGACATTTTAAGATACACAAAATCTAGTTCTGCAAGTCTTTGATTTCTGATTCAGGTGAGTGGGTGAATGAGTGGAATGTTACAAGTGGATCTGAATCAGATTATCAAGAGTTTGGAAGGGCTCAATTAGAGGTGTATGATGCAGCTTCCTTTGGTTGGGCTTACTGGACGCTCAAAAATGATAGAAAGCACTGGGATTTCGAATGGAACATAAGGAACAATTATCTCCAATTAAGTAAACATTCTTAACCCGCATCCATTTTACTTTCATACATCATCGTTTGTTGCCTTTAACATTGACATGTATTCATGCAGGAGACCCAGACGATAATGGAACATAAGCAGCCTATTGTGGCTTTTACTTACATCAATTTGGTTCCATTATCGTTTCCAATGAAGCTGCTGGAGACCCAGATGTGAAGATGGAGTGCAGAATTTTATTTCCTTTTATAAGCTCTTTGCTACCCCCATTACATTCATATTTTGTAAACTATTCTTTAAGCAAGAAAACCCATTTTTCCAACCCAACAAAGAGCATAGCAAACAAACTAATTCATTACAATTAGAATGATGCAGTTTCACATAGACATTTTAACAAACAGATAGATTTCCAAATACACATAAAAACCTATAACAGAGAACCCAATGAAAAAAGGCTTGAACGAAGAGTAAAATTAAGCGTTTTCAACTCTAAGCCCTCTCGCCCCTGATCCTACGAGCCAACTGAATATCCTTGGGCATAATAGTAACCCTCTTAGCGTGAATAGCGCACAAGTTGGTATCTTCAAAAAGGCCCACCAAGTAAGCTTCAGCCGCCTCCTGGAGAGCCGCCACGGCACTGCTTTGGAACCTAAGATCAGTCTTGAAATCTTGAGCAATTTCTCTTACCAACCTTTGGAATGGGAGCTTCCGGATCAAGAGTTCAGTGCTCTTTTGGTACTTCCGAATCTCACGCAACGCCACAGTCCCTGGCCTGAACCTGTGTGGCTTCTTGACTCCACCGGTAGCCGGAGCTGACTTCCGGGCGGCTTTCGTGGCGAGTTGCTTCCTTGGTGCCTTACCTCCGGTGGATTTCCTGGCGGTTTGCTTCGTACGAGCCATTTGATTTGCGAATAATGAAAACGAGAGAGAAGTCTGGATGGTGAATGGAGCAAAATGTCTAAGCTGGTTTTATAGAGGAGATGAGAAACTTGGGAACTTGGGAAAATTTGAAGCGGAAGGAGAAGAACATCATTTTTCTTTATGATCGTACGGTGGAGATAGGTTTGACGAGGATATAATCCGCGTGAAGTGGAAAGGACCAATAGAGTTTGTTCTCTGAGGCGCCAAATTTCCTTATTTTCCCTCCCTCCTTTGAAATTTTTCATACACTAGTGCCGTATTTCGTGTTGAGACTAGATAGATCGTGAGTTATTCGAGATTAATTCGGTCAAGGTTCGATAAATACTCGGATCGAATAGACTCGACTTGATCTCGAGCTCGGCTCGAATTCTTAACGAGCCGAAACGAACTACTTGATACTCGACAAGAAAAGCTCGTGAGCAGCTCAAAAATATAATATATTAAGATTTTATTTTTAAAATAAATTATTAATAATATTAATATTTATGTGTTGTTTTTTTTTAAAAAAAATACAGTAAGATTTTTATGTATTTAAGGTTCATGTTCGAGTTTGAGTTTAAAGCTTCAATCTAATTAAATTTAAGATTTTTTTTCATTTCGAGTCTTTTCGAGCTGCTCATGAGCTTTGGTTTAGGATTTCGAGTCGAGTCGAGCTATATTTCAGAGTTTTCGAGTCGATTTGAGTTCAACAATACTCAAATTCGACTCAACTCGTTTACACCCTAGTGGTGTGTGTAGAAGAGATCGCCGTATTTCATGGTCTCTTATTTTTCAGTCCGGTTGATTTTAAAAATTAAATTTAATGTATCAATCTATTTGATTTTAATATTTCGAAAATACTTCTTTTTCTTCCATTTCTAGGTTTTAAGATTAATAAAATAGGATCATAAACACAAACAAAAAGACACAAAATTGAAATATTTTAAAGATTGGGGCTATTCAATTTCAACCACATTAATTTAGAGGGCATGGCTGCACCTGCAAGAGGGAAATGGAGAGTTATGTTTTAATATCTGATTATGAGATGTTGAGAAATTTTAATTCATCAACCAAATATGTTTTTGTTAAAATAAGTATCTTTAATCTAAAATAATAATTATTAAGGTAAAGTATATAAATAGTCTTTTGATTATAGGGTGTTATTGGTGAATTTCAACTCTTAAAAGTTATAAATTGATCTTTTAATTATATGACGTTGCTTTGTTGAGTCCCCTTACTAATAAAAGTTACAAAATAGTCACTTGACTATTCATATGTTTTAAAATTATCATTTGTTTGTTAAAAATTGATGGCATTCTGCAATAGATGTTAATATGTTGATTGAGATATGATAAAATATTATCCTAAAATCACAAACTACTATCATATCCCTGTCAATATGTTAACATACAACTCAGACGGTCGTTAATTTTTTAACAAAAAATACGAATTTGGAACATATGAATAATTGAATGACTCAACAAAGTAATCCAATATAATCAGATGATTGTTTTCTAACTTTTAATAGCCAGTAAGTCAACAAAACCGTAATGTATAGTTAAAGAGCTATTTATGTATTTTATCCTAATTGTTATTTGATACTATATGATATGTATATTTATTTTTCATAATCAATCTAAATCTTAAAATTTAGAGATCTAAATCTTATAATTTAAGTTATAAAAAATAATATAAATAATTATCATATTAGATTTATATTTGTGAATGGAGTAAATTGGAAGGGTCGTTCCCGCGTATACAATACTGAATCCGGATTAGTCAATAAATTAAATACTAATGATTATAAAAAAATAGATTTGATTTATTGGTTAAACAATATATTTTAGTTTTAGATGACTAAGATTCAAATCCCTTTATTGGTAATGTAAGTAATGAAGTTCAAATCATTTTAGGATGCGTTTGGTTCACGGAATGTAATATTACCAATGGGGATAAAAGATTACTAGGGAATAAGATTATTGGGAATGTTGTATTTTGTGTTTGGTTGGTTTAACAGGAATGTAAGATTATCGTGTTTGGTTAAATGAATAAAATATTATTGGAATGTATATTTTACTAAATTATCCTTATTATATATTTTTTAACAAGTTGAATCCTACTATAATATTACTATAATTAATTTATATATTTTCTTTAAAAATTTAAATTCATAAAATTTATATAATTTTGTTTACAAAATTGAAAAGATAAATAGGTTTAATGAAAGGGTAAAATTTTATTTTAACCCCTGAACTTCATATAAAATTTTAATTATAGAATTTTTTTGTAAATCTAAAATAGTTTAAGGATAAATTTGTAATTAAACCTTCGTAGAATTTTTATTATTCAGCAACATAAGAATGATATTTTTAGAAAAAAAATTAAGGACATTTTAGTCTAGAACGTCGGTAATCCAACAATACATAAGGGAAGGGAGATAATGACATTCACGATAATATACCCCAAAAAATCTACTGTTGGTAATAAAAGATTACCGAGGGCTGAGAATGTTGGCCAACCAAATGGAGGAATGAGATTCCATTCCCCCTCCTTAACCAAACACCCCCTTATTGGTCATTTTATTTCATATAAATATTGTAAATATTAAATTAAATTATTAATTTTTTAGAACTAAAAAATATAAACATATAATCATTTATAGCTAAAATAATTATCCATTAAAATTATATAAAATTATTTTAAAAATAATATTAATATCGTGATAGATTATTCTTGATTGTTTTTCTATTAAGATGATATAAGTACAATATATTATTAAAGATTACTTTCAACCATTTGATTTTGAACATTAATACCTATGATATTATTTATATTAAAACTCAAGACTTTATAAAATAACAACAATTACTCTAACATCGAAATTGTTGAGTTGATTCATTGCTTACTTTTAAATTTGAATAGGCCTAAATTGTTTATTATTTTTAGAAAATCAGTTTGTACAGTTTTGAAATCGGGAGGAACCAAGAGGTATTTTGACCATTTTTTTGGTTAAAAGGCCTTAGGACTTTTAACAAAAAAAAATTGAAGCCTAAATAATAGTCCCCTGCAAAGCTTCCAGTAAACGCGCCACTTCACGCGAGGCCTTTTTTTCGTCGAACGTTCCAAAACAATGGAACAATCGAAGACGGAATCTCAACCAAAATCCAGCTCAACTCAATCTTTGTCTCGAGAATTTGATCCGAAAGAATCGGATCCCGCAATGGACGCGGAGGGCTTTGTTATGGTGCCAACATCAGAGCCACAGGAAAAGGAAGAGAAAGAGACTCGGGATCTGAAAGCGAGTCAGGCTCAAAGCCCGCAATCACCGGTCCAGTCACCTACCGGGTCGAGAAAATCAGTTCATTGGAGTCCGGAACTTGTTAGTGAATCGCCTGCTGTGGATCACAGCGCCACCATGTCAGCTGCTAACGGATCTAATCCTTACGTTACTCACTCTCCGCCTCCGGAATATTCTTCGGCTTCCTTCAAAGGTAATCCACTAAACATTTTATTTCTAACTCATATTTTATTTGATGATTTTTATGATTAATTAATTAATTTATTTTTTTAACTGGGAAACAGAGAAAATGGATGTAGTTAAGGGTGTCTTAGGGAGATGGGGAAGGAAAGTGGCAGAGGCGACGAAGAAAGCCGAGGATCTGGCCGGGAACACGTGGCAACACTGTATTTTTCTTTTATAGTTCCAACTGGGTTTGAATTTATTTTAAATTTAAGTGTGTTCCTTCTTGATTGGATTTGTTTAGTTGTATCCGGTTTGAATTGGTTTGCAATTTTCGGGCTTTTAGAATTGGAATTTATTACGCGTGCTTGGTAATTTGATCTGTTTTAAGATTGTGATGAGATATAAATATGTGGCTTTTTTGGATGGTTGCTATTGATATTAAGTTATTTAAAATTGAAATCTCAGATATTGAATTAGGGGCTAATATCTGGATTAAGTCTAGGGTACACTATTGTTTCTTTTGTAGGGTTGGTGTTAGCTCGCTAGTTTAAGAGTAATATAGGATATTAGGAAGGCGTCATTTTGGAAATGGTTGGACAATTTTGGATATTGTGTTTAAGGAAAGGGAGAGGAAGTAATGATCTTCATTGCTTTATTATTATTATTATTATTATTATTATTGTAA